CTCTGTCTTTCTAGACAAAAGGGAGATTTTCCTAAGGTTACACAGGCCATGTGTTCTGGTGCAAGGTAGAAAACTGAAAAGAAGCTTTCAAGAGTCTTCATCATACAATATCCTTTAACTAATGTTACTAGAATTACAAATGTTAGGTTGCATGAAGAATTTAAACACTCTCCACCCCCCAGCATTCATGTCTGGAACTAGATGCACTCACAGAAATGCAGGTCAAGCTGAAATCCCTTTGAAAATTCAGCCTTTTCTGAAGAAAAAGTTGATAGTTATTGACAAAATGTTGTACTCTGCCTTGTTACTATTCATGATTAAGGAAAGTAAATATTGTCTGAGGCCTAATGAGAATTCCAATGCAATAAAGTCAAGTGTGAAAGGTGCAATCAATAAGTGATGATGCAACAGTATTTGTTTGTAGTTTTGTTATTGTTTAGTTCATGCTATTTGCTGATGCTTGAAAATGAAGTGTTAAGAAATTAGTGCTACAAGGATTAACATTCAGATTTTATTTCTGATATTGTTATGTTTTTACAGTCATTACACTCTGAAGACTAATTAGCATCTGCTTTCTTTTCCCACTAGTTAAGGACTGCAAACCAAAGAATTATAGAACACAAATACTATGGAAACAAACATCAGTATTTTCTGTGAACATCCACAAATTAAACCCCATGATGTCCATGGTTAATTTTACACCGCAGGAGTAAGTACTGCAATAAAGTATTGTATTTTCCTCATTTTTTGTGTTAGAATCTATGCTTCAAAGTGTATAAAATTTATGAAGGGAGTGTATTTCCAAATGTGTAACAGATCTCAGAGTCCAAGCTGGAATATTTACGTTCTACATATGTCAGAGGTATCCACCAAGGACACAAGGTATTCAAGAATTGTAAATCTAAGTTTTGGACTTACAAGTATTGAATATCAGGAAGCATACTGCTCCAGGAAACTGATTAGTCAAGGACGAAATCTCAGTTACTCAGTTTCTGCAAAGGAACCAGTCTCTTCCAGTCCTTCATCAGACTGATTAATTCCTCTCTGTTTGCCTCAGCTGGATTGGCAGGCACAAAGACATTGCTCTGTGTCACTGTGCCATGGCATTGGACACTGCTACCTTGTGTCAAAAACCGAAGGGATGATTTTCTCTCTTCCCTGCAGGCACATTGTACAAGTGACAATTTGGGCTGGCCACATCATGTAGCCTGAAGATCCTGAAAATATCTTTGAATATTCTTTGCAACCCTGTGTTTTCTGAAGAAGTCATGTAAAAATTTGCCTATGAGAACTTCTGTGGATTTAAGTTTACAATTAACATCTTTATGTTTCTGAATATTCTGCTTTATTAATTGCTCTGGCACTTTAGCTTATAGAGCAAGATTTAGGACATGGATCAAAAACAAGGGCCGGCTCTGTCCTAAAATATTTGGTTACATGTCTGTGTTAAGGTGTTATGGCTTTTGAAGTCAGCTAGGAGTATTTGGCATATATCCTATCAAAGGGAAACTACAGGCCAAAGCAAATGCCTCCCAAAACTCCTGTTCACCATGTATGGCAAAAGACCCCATCCATTTCACAATGGCAATAGGCAATTCAATAGGCAGCTCTACATTTCTTCACACATTGCTAAAAGCAAAATTCCTTTGAAACTTTATTTATGTCTCTATTTGTTTATTTATATAACAACTTTACTAATTCAGTAAGTAAAGAGATATTGTAACTAAAGTTAACTTGTATTTAAAGACTATAACCCATTCTGACTAAGAAGATTCTCTAATCCATGCACAATTTTTATTACATATAGTTTCAATGGAATTACGTAAAAACAACACTGTAACACTGGAGATTGACATATCTGTTATATATCATGGTTCTTTATCAAAATGCATTTTTTGCAGAGACATGGAAGTGACTCTTTCAGTCATGTGAGATCTCTTGACCTATTGCAAAGAAGATGGCACACTTGCAGTGCCTTTAACTTTTGGAAACTTGTTTGTTTATGTGTATTTAGAAACATCTGAGTAAGAAACCTAGTTCTGCAGGAACACAGTATAAAATGGCCCACACACGCACACAGCTAAAGGAAAGATAATTATGGGAAATAAAGAATATTTCAAATCAGCTCCCTAAGAAAATCTAAAAATATAAGAAACCCTATCATATTAACCAGCAAGAACTGTTCTTTCACTTAAGGGATAGTTGGGCAATTATTCAAACCTGGACAAGTCTGGATTGTCAAGTGAAATAATAATTCAGAGCTCCACAGGATAATGAGATAGATCTCAAGGCCATTAGCAGTGGCCCTTATTATAATACTGACCAAGGTTCCCCATGAAAGAGAGAGAATATTTAAATGAAACTTGTAGGGAACTAGTTTGAACTTGTATATTTGAACAGCTTAGTACTGTCTCCTAGTTTCCATTCATTATTGGAGAGAAAGGTATGTATCATGTAAGACTCTGAAATCAGTCAGGCTTTCGAGACTGAAATCCCTGAGGGCAGAAACTAAAACATAAAATAATTAGAAAATCAAGCCACATTGAAACTCACAGAGTTTATATTAAGAATCTTATTCTAGTGAGATTTTTAGGTCTGGTTCAGCAAGCAGTTGTCTCCCCTTTCCTTATTGTTTCTCTCTCATTCAAAACAAGCAAATCCAACATATAACTTCCCTGACTTCAGGTCTGTCATGAAGAATTACAGCTTTAGATGTAAGGGCTTTTTAGATTAAAAACAGAAGAAGGGATTACTTTATCTCTATAAAATAGGTCCTGCTTATGAGACATTTGTATATGCATGCTTCATTCTGTTTTGTTTGTTTGCTTTTAACCACTATGGGAATAACTCAATAGCTAGTGGTCACAGAGAAGCTCCCTAATCCCTGGAAAAACAGTCGTCTAGTCTGCAGTTTATGAGGTACAGTACAGCTAATGTGTCAGCAGTTGCCATGGATAAGAAATACTGCTTGCTTTAATATTCTCCTTACAATCCTTCTCCTAGGTATAGGAGTTTCCTAATACAGAAGCAGATCTAGGTCTGGCATGCCTGGCATCCTCCAGTGAGAAACTCTGCTCTGCACCTTAATGAAGATCTCCTGGGCTGACTGGTCTCTGGGGTGCTCGGACTATTAGGCTAGACTGGGATTTACAGCAGGTTAAGCAAGAAGGCTGACTAAGAATTTGCAAATCAAATATTAAAGACTGATTAAATATTTTACGATCTTTTTACTTAGGCTTTGATTTGAAGTTTACTTCATCTGCTAACCAGAGATCTGTTGAAGGTTAATTGATGGAGGAAGAGTAAATAACAGCTCACGCTGCTGGCCCTAAGTATGCGAGGCATTTAGGAGTATTCCTAACCTCAAGTGTGCAGTCACTGACATGCTCATTTGTCTCACTAGGTTAGTGTCACTAGGGCTCAGATATGTGATCAAATTACTGCTGTGAAAGTGGTTTAAGCTTATGTGTTTTCCCTTGTATTGTATATTTGCACATGTCTCCAGTGACACCAAGTAATCCTTTAAATTGCGTTAATTTGATCATGCATCTGAGTACCCAGTGCAGCAAATTGGGATAGGTGGCTATGGAAAGTGGAGATGATGTCTCTTAGAAGACAAATAGCTCCTACGGAGGAGAGAGACATCCAGCAGAACTCAGTCTACCAGGATTAGAGCATAAATCTCTCCTCTTTCTCCTTCTACAAAATCAATGGTTTGTAACTTATAAACATGATCTGACAAATTGCTTTCGTGGACTTTGGGTTTTTTTTTTCTTTTTTAAAGGGAAAGAATTAACAAAACTCTTAAAACTGGTTAATTTTTGGCTACCCAACTGGGTCGATGTCATTTAAAGCCCATCTAGAGAGAGCTCCAAGAAAAATTCAGAAACTCATCATCCAGCAAGAGCCCTCATCGTATTTGGGGTTTGGAGTTGAAAACTTAAAAGCAATCTAAACATCTAGTTTAACAAAAGTACTGCTGAGACTGTATCTGAGCTCCTTTTCAAGGAATCTTTGGAAAGGGTTTACACATACCAAAGTACAATTTATGTAAAGAGCAGGAAGAGTTATTGGACTAATCATTTTAAATAGAGATTCCTTGTCTTTCATACAGAGCTACACAACAGAACTTAATAGCTTGTGTCAGATAAATAATTTACACGTGGATTGTGTCTGAATACAAATGCATACATAAAATATCACAGACTTAATGAAGGTGCTGGTTTTTTACAAAATCAATTTAATTGATTTCGGCGATAGATCTGCATTAATATTTTTGTAAGCTCCATTTTGCTTTACCTGTACATGTGGCCCAGTCGTGATTTGTAAGGGAGGAAGGGAAAACTCTGCAAATGTAATTAGAAACTCAGCATACAGAGTGTTGTTAGTTTTGAAGTGTCTAGGTTAAGACACTCGGAAATAACACTCCACTGTGACCTGGTAGAGGGGCTCATTTACAAAGTACTCCTCAGAAAAGGTCAACCTCTCAGAACTCTTGTGACTATTCAGTCATGAGTTTTGCAGCATTTGAGCCCAATGAGCTGGTGATGAAGTTTTCTCCTTAACACTGAACATGTTGGGTTTTTCAGCTGCAGTCTTGTTTGTTGGGTTGTTCAGCTGCTTTGACTTGTGTTTGGCCTGAGCTCCTACCAGAGCGGGGAGAAGACAAGGGCAGAAGAAGGTGGGCATTGTTGTGGCGGATACACAACTGCAGCCAGGAGAACAAAGGTCGGATGGGAACATGGGGCATATTTCACCGGGAGAGGCATGGGATGGTGGCTGCTTTACCTTGGGAACACCAGCTTATCTGATGGGCCTGAAAGCTGCTTTTCACTACTTTTCGCCCACAGCTTGTCGTACCTCCCGTTAACACGCTGCTTTTCGTCATCAGTAACTCACAAAAGCTCTGCACTTTAGGAAAGCGCGTAGGCAGCCGCCGTAGCTGGCGGGCCCACCGAGAGCGGCAGGGACGCCGAGGGGGCCGAGCCGGCCCGCCTTACCTTTGGGGTGCCAGGGATCCGTGAACTCGTACTTCCCCACGCCGATCGTCCGCAGCATCTGCACCCCGTTGGTGTTGTCCGGGCCGCCCGCCGCGGCCGCGTTGGGGGGCAGCGGGGCAGCCGCCTGCCCGTTGGTGGCGGGCGCGCTGCTGGGCAGGGCGGCCGAGGGCAGGGCCGGCGGCGGCGGCGGCAGCATGGGGCAGGCCAGGTGGCCATTGCCCACCGCCGCGGGGCCTGGGTGGGCCACCGGGCCCACGCCGCTCATGGAGGACATGCTGAGGGGCTGGCTGTTGGTGTACAAGGGCTGGCTCTGGAGGTTGACCACCATGCTGCTGAGGGGCTGGGAGGGCTGCGGCTGGAGCTGGTAGTGGCCTGGCATCAGCGGGAGCTGGGGGGTGACGTGCGGCGGGAGGGAGGGTGTGACGCCGATGACCGGGGCCTGGACGTTGGCGGCCGGGCTGAAGGTGGGCGGCTGTGTCATCCCGTAGGAGTGCGTGATGAGGGCGGGCTGGCTGCCCGCTGCCACCGTGGTGACCCAGGGCGCTGCACCTGTGGCATGAAGGAAGGCCGGCAATGGCGGTGGGCTCGGCATGGCGGAGAAGAGACATCAACACCCTCATCCTTCCCCTCCCGCACCCGTGGGGGGCACAGACACGCCCCGCTGCACAACACCTAAAGCAGTTCGGGATCTGGAGCCGTTCCCAAGCAGTAAGTGCATAAAATTGCTGCAGCGATGTGAGCACAATTGTTAAAATACTCGTCAGGTGACGTGCGGCATGTTTGCGGTTTTATGTATTTTGCACTTTATGCAGCTTAAGCGCACACTTCCAAGAAAATTAACCTCTTTCCCTGCTGTGCTTTCACGGCTCCCTGACAAACACTCTGTGTGTATAATAATGGTGCTCCAGCCACTACAAAGACATTGTAATTAGGCGTCTGGCATAGTAGCACAATGTATGATATGTGTCTGGAAGCTGGAAATCATTTCAGGTAGTTCTGGACATAAAAGAAATCTTAAAGTATTACAGAGTGCCTTTCCGTCTAGTGAAGGCAGAGAAGGATAAAAAAAAAACCCCATTCTAATGAACTTGCAGCATCTTAATACATTTGTATCAGCCTCGGCATAGAAAAAACTTGAGGGGTCTTCACAATGAGGGAAAACCCCTGCTAAAGAATAAAGAAAGGGCTCACAATGAAGTCTAATTTACAGAGGTAAATGGAGATAGTGCATTGAACTTGCTTTGAACAATGTTCCCTGGTAGAATCACAAATAAGGTTAGAGACATACCTGGGTTTTCATTCTCCCTCATCTGTTTAGATGGAGGCTCATCAGTGTCCCAGGGCGTGGACTGATTGATGGGTGTCTGTCCCCACCTGACGCTTGTTGCAAGTCCTTGAGGCTGATTTTCAGTCTTGGAAATGCAAGGTGTCTAGGAGAGAGAAAGAAAAATACAGAATAAAAATGTTTTGACTATTGGGATTAATTATGATTCCTCATAACTAGTAGCTTGCTTGTTTGTTACAGTCCAAGAGGATATCCTAAGATCGTTAAATACCATTCATTTGGGGGTTGGAATACATGATCTTCAGAGGTCCCTTTCAACCCTAACAGTTCTGTGGTTCTGTGATTGTCCTTCAGGCTTGCATGAGACGTCCACATGGAAATACAATATATTTGAAAAAAATGCTTCTGGAAATTTAATAGGTACACCTTAAAAAAAAAAAAAAGAAATCCACAACAAACTAGTGTTTTCAGAAATAAGTCACTACATTTGCCATAAAAATAGGAAAAAACAAAACAACAAAAAACAACCCAGATATGGCAATATCTACTCACTGGCAGCTACATAAAATGGAACAATCTTCTGTTTGCTCAATTTCTTCCAAAAATACTGAGTTTTGTTTAGCAGGAGGCAGAACAAGAGAGACTTATTTACAACTGTAGGACAAATTACTGTAGAACAGTAAAGAGAAGTCTTCGTATTTACTGTCTGTCAACCCTTGAAATTGAATGCCAATAAAAAAAAGCAGCATAACATCACTGGCTGCTAAAGTGGGTATGTTGGCAGGCCTTCAGAGAGGTTAAAATAACTGTAAAGTAGGGGAAGGATTTGGGCTGAATAATCATCAAAGCAGACATGATCTGAAAGAGATCTCTTGATGAAGAAACTACCACATGGATTTAAATGCTACACCAGACCCCTGCTGCAATTTTATGGGACCTTCCCAAACAATCACGCCTTTGCTGAGAAAAGGCTTGTAGAAAACAAGGGTGCTCCAACAGGTCTCATTTATTTAAGTCTGCTGTGTATTTCATTGCTGGAAGATTAAAAGTTTTTTGTTTTGTTTTGTTTTTACCGGTGTCAGAACCTCTAAGCCAAGCAAACGGAACCAGCTGCCTATTGCTGAATGAGTACTGAAGAGTAAAGCCATAAAGAACAGACCAGTCTGAGTGATTGCTTGTTTGCCTCACATCTGGGAAGTAATTTAGCTCAGAGATGGGGGTACAGCAGCTCCATAAATGCCCTGGGTCACACTGTACCAATGAAATCTCTGTCAACACCAGCAGCCTGTTCACCCATCACCAGTACCTCAATCAGCCCATGAAAGGAAGTCATTAGCAAACCTATTTATGCCCTCTTCAAATTCATGCACACCTTCCCCAAGCCAATCAGTCATTCCTCCTGTCTTTAAATCTACCAGAGGCACCTGCTTCCTTCTGCCTGCCCTTCTTCCCCACCAGCACCCCCACTAGCACCTGCCCTGCTCCAATGTTCCCCCCTTCATCCAAGAGTCTGACAACTCCTGATACCCACTCCCTTTTCTACCTGAGCTTCATCCTCAGTGGGCTCCTGGAGGCAGGAGTTGTGTGTGCAGACCTTGATAGAGGACACAGGTTTTGCTGTGCTGCTCTCTTTGCTCCCAGAAGCCACAATGGGGATATTTCCCCCGCTGGAAACGCTATACTTTGTTCAATGCAGATGTTCACAGGGAAATGTGATTCTTAATATATTTCTTCCTATGACTTTTATTTTTCAAAACTCATCAATTTATTCTTTTCTACAGTTTGGGGGTTGCATTTTTTGGTTTTTTTAATGTAATTTCTCCGGATTTTTTTTCTATTTTATTTGCACCAAGGACAATTCTGGTTTTAGATTCACATTTACTTCTGTCCCCACCATTTCAACTACCTCTGTAACTTTTGCAATTGAAATAAAAATGAATCAGAAAAGACATAAAGAGAGGACCTGCAGACTGTCAAGAGCTTTAAGAGCTCTGCTCTATTCATGGTGAAGAAAGGGCAGGAGGGGAAGAAATAAGTCTCAGTTTTGAAATGCTTTCTATTTATAAATTGTCCTGAGAAAATGATTAATCTGAATACCTTTAGCTTTTACATTGTACAAGGTCTTTGACACAGGAGGATATAACACTGCAGGTGGTTTACCAGCTCATGTTAGCAGTATCCCTTTGGATCTAGCTAAACTGTTTAACAGCAGCCAAAGAACTCTTCAGTAGAAAAATAAATAAATAAATAAATAAGTAAAAGACCCACCAGCATTCTCTGCCTATATATCAGCTAAAATACTTCTCCCAGAAATACCAATATTTACTCTGAAGTAAAGCTTTAAAAAAACGTAAATGCAATATAGAGAAATGGGCATTTTTAGGAAACAAAATGAGGATTCATAACTCCAATCACACTCCGTGTGTTCCACATGTGGCATCTGTGTGTTGCATTTCTTTGTTGTATGAACTGGGTCTTACCAGTGGGTTTGAAACACACACCGATCATTATTGTGGGGCATTGTCAAAGACGGGCAGCATCTTGTTTTACTTTGTTACATTCACAAGCTGCTTTGAAACAGTGTTGATCTAAAATAAGGAAAAAACAACATTCCTCTACCTTTACCAATACGACGCACATGCTACAATTTTAAAAGAACCTGTATGTTTTGTCCAGAGTGGGTAAAGAAGGGAGAATATGATACAGCTTTCCTAAATTCTACAAAAATCCAGTTGCTTATTTTGGAACTTGTTTTCTAAAAAACCTTGAGCACCACACCAGACACATGTGAAAGTGGTAGAGTCTGCAGGCAAATCTAGATCTAAATTCCATACTTTGAGCATTAAAAAAGAGGAAGGAGGTTATCAAGTTTGTTGTCAATAAACACTTCTCCTTCACTTTCACTAAATGGCAGATTTTGTTTCACTAAATATGCTCATAAACCTTGCTTCTTAGAGGCTCGGTGGATTTAAACACACAAGGTTGCTTTCAAACTGTACTCTTGAACTTGTTTTTGTTTGATCAGAAAGTGCCAGAGATCAGCTGATACGAAATCACAACACACGTCCATGAAACACAGACAGTAATGGTGGCGGAAACAGAGAAACAGCTTACTGAACTTCCTTTTAAAACCTATACATACTTCTGGTCTCTGATCTAATTTCTGCTTTACTTTTCTTAATACATGAAGGGTTACATTACAAGTGTTATATGTCTCTGATCTGATTGCAGCAATTACCCATTTGTGTCTCTGGAAAGTGAAATTATTTCCAGCGTTATCAAACAAAGGAACTTTCTGTCCATTCGCTCAGGCCCACGACAGTGCTCTATTTGATGTTTTTAATGTACAACACAAATGACCAAAAAATGGCCTGTATTATGCTGGTTGTGCAGGGAGAAGAGCTGTGTTCCATTAGTGATCCACAGACTTCACAGAAACTAATTGTACTATGTTACACTTTTATCTTTAGCTTTCATGTCAGATGCTTGTTTGAATTAAACATGGAACACATGAAAAAAGGAAATGCATTACAAAATCTACTGGGTATACATCTCTGCCAAAAGTCTATTTACATGAAAAAACCAAAAAGGTTTCTAGAAGTTCTGTTAAAGCTTGGCTAGTCAACAGCAGCATTGGCTATTTAATTTCCCTGAAATTCCTGGCAGACTACAAAGACTACTTAAGGAATCATCAGCATTTTCCTAGCACCCATAAAATGTTCAATTTGTGCTCTTTGTCATGGATAGAGTACCCCAAAATCAAATCTCAGGATGTTTTTTCCCTCTTTAGTTTGAGGGCACCATTAAGAGCCAATGAAAGTGTTCAGCTAAAGTCTGCATTTCACCACCTGCCACTTGGAGCTCCAGAAAGGAGCAGTCTCCCAGTTTTAAGGAAATTAACCACAATACAGATGTACAGACAGAAGAGAGCAAGACAGAACAATTCTGGAATTACATGAGACTAATACAGACAAGTTGCCAGACTGTCATTTTTTTTGTAGCTCAAGCAGTCATAAACCATGGCCCGTAGGCAACAGTAATTGTTGTACAGCTGGTCCATTGAACCTTATTACATTAAAACATTAAAACCTTCAGATTCATGGGGCTTTTCAGAATATCCACAAGAAAGTTCGTGAGTTCACAGCCATCAGCTGGTGCTAAAGACTGGGAATTAGTGATTAGGTCTATACAGCATCATGGCTCTATATGGCTACTCTTAGGTGTTGAAGAGGCATAGCAACATCTAAGTCTGACTTTAAGTCCTATACTTTACAAATCTGTAATGAAATAATACCTAAACTTTTAATAAAACCTTTTTTACATCAATGGAAACATAAAACCTATTGTACAGCATCAAAGACTATGTTAGCGGACTTTAAAAATCCAACATAAAACCCACAAAAATCCAACAACAAAAATTCCAACACAATCTTCCCCAGGCTCAACACCACAAATACCTCCTGGAAGGTCCTTATAAATACATTTGAGCAACTTTCCTATAGCTTGTGGAACCACTGACATACATCCTGCTATGGCTCAGAGTGCTAATACCTATTCTAACAGTTTCATGAGCAAAAAAGAACTAATCTGGCAAGAGGGATACTATTTGTGATTCACAGCAATAAAAATTGTTTTACTGAGGCCTTCATTTAAAGTGATGGATGAGAAGTAGCGAATCTCTGTTCCAATTTTCCAAAAGAGATTGGGAATGGCAGCTTAATACCAAGATAATGTATCCAATATGCAACCCAGTCTATTTTCTCTTCCCATTGAAAATAAAAAGGTTAAGATGCATGCATGCACAGAGGCAAACATTCCCTCCCACAGATTCAGGTTTTATGGCCTGTCATGGGTAAAAGCAACTTCAGTTTAATGAGGGAATTCCTTTTAAAGCTGTTCTCTATGCCTCTAAGTGGTAGTGACTGGTGGCCCTGGTTGGGTTTAAAATCTGAATGTGTCTGATGCGCTAAAAAGTTTAGTGGTCTCTGCACCAAAGAGTTTATGGTCTAATTTGTAGTTCACACTATTAAATATTGCATGAAACGGGTATTATTTGTAGGCATGCATGTAAAATCGGAACCATTCAGGGATAGATCTTCATCTGGAGTAAATTTCTACACGGTGCTGGACAGGACCCAAGTATAT